GTGTCCCATCAGTATTTGCAGCTGTTTTATACATTTGGGAAAATTCCATTATTTTACTCATGTTTCTTAAATACTAGATTCATCCTAATTTTTTTTTTTTTTTGAAGACTAAGGACTAGAATTGATACAGAACTCAAAAATTTAACTGGAGTTAGTAGTTCAGAGATCAGATTTTTCTGCATTTAATATGTATCCTGAGGGATATTGTAGGTCTGCATATTTCTGTAAAACATTTTAGAATTTGATTAGAGAATATGGAAGAAAGAAATTGCCTTATAGGCTAAATAAAACCTTGTCTCCAAGTTTCAGAGTTATTTCAGTCACAGGATAGATGCATATGAGCTGATACAAAATAAAATAATTCTTGAAGTTTTCCCAAGACTTTTGTATCAATGACTAAAAGCTTCTCATCATCAAATAATCTCCACCAGCCTTTCTCTTGGTGATTGAAGGCTAAACAATTAGTCACATTTAGAAGAAAGAAGGTCTTTTTTAGCATGTGTTTGAGGACAGATTGTTTGCGAGAGAGTTTAAGTAGAGGGTGAAAGAAAGCATGTTGAGATGTCAGCACTGAGGGTATAATGCCGGGGAACAGAGATGTCAGCAGTGAGGGTATAGTACTGGGGAACAGAGGCTGTAACTTAGGTGAAAAGCAAATGTGGAAATGGAAACAAAATTGACTTTCGCATGGAATACAATTAGAGTTGAATTATAGTAAAGTCCTGCTCAGTATTACATGATTGAAGTTTACTCTCCCTAAATCAGTTAATGCCAATCTACCTCTGCAAAGCCAAACGCTTTCTCCCCTTTGCTGGGCAACTTCTGGGTTTGAATTTTCTCCAACCCTCTGATGGTCTCTAGAATTATTGTTATAAAAACTGGAACAGTGATACTGCTAGTGTATTGCTCCTCTGAGCTTTTATAGTTATATACGTTTTTAAGGTATGACTAGTCGTGGTGTGTTTTTCATCTTAAAAAAAAGCATAGTTATTTGATATTTGCTCTTTAAAGTCTAAATCTACCTTTTCCTATCCAGGTGGGTTTTCTGGCATTAAGGGTGGAGTCTCAGTCAAAAGAAAATTCAAGAAAATAGAAAGTGTAAATTCTTTATAATGTATTTTACCCAACAATTGAATAAAATTCACTCTGAAACTTTTGAGACCCTGCACTTAAAATATTTGGTTTGTATGTAGCTGACATAGCTGATGTGAGGTCTGCCCTGCTCTAGATTCAATGTACATATCCTTTCTTTGTGATGGAGAAAGAAGAGGGAGTCACTGAAAAGAAGTTCTTTCTGTGTCCACTGATACGGAATTGGTACAATTAAGGCATTACACCATCTGTAATATAATTGAAATGATAAATATCACCAGCATCACTTCTCATCATGTATATCTGAAAACTGCTATCCTCAGATATAAAGAAGAACCTTATGAGAATGCAGCTGATGATGAAGTAGGCATTTCTGAATTTGGAGACTCAAGAAAAAATGCTGCCTTGCCCAGTCATTATAATTTTTCAACAGTCTCTCTGAAACAAACATAACAGTTGAAAGAGATCAAGGAAAGTTTGGTTAGTAACCTTCACCAATAGCTGGGAGAATAATTAAGAGTGACTTAGTGGAAGCACTGGTCGTCTCGTAGTTCCGTGACTTTGTATAACAACGGGGCAGCCCAATAGCAGAGAAGCAAGCTTCAGAATGTCTGCAGGTCAGCTCAGAGATGCCAGTTCCAAGTGGGGGTTTCATAAAATAATAACAGCAACTGATTTAAATGCATAAGAAAGAGAACTAAATATCCTACAAGAATAAAGACCTCTTAGAGAAATTGTACATTATAAATTCATTAGCATAATTTTTTATTAACTGTCATCACGGGTCACATCACTGCTGTTAGGTGATCTTGAACATTCACAGGAAATTGAAGCCTGGAAATTTTACAGTATCCTGAGGATTTATTTTATTTTATTTATTTTTTTAAAGATTATTTATGTATACAAGAACTGGGGTACAGGCCAAGAGGTACAGGGAGTGAGAGGATTCACCAGAGACAGGGTGGGGAACAGAACAGGCGGATTGACTGAAATACTCTGCTAAGGGGAGCAGTGGGTGAGTCAGGAGAAGTCTGCTGTGCCATGTGGGCTGCTTCCTGGCCTGCTGGGGATCGAGCTTGAGCTGCAGAGGCGGGGATTGCTTCATAGTGCGGTGCTTAACCCCTTGCGTCACCAGGGAGGCCCAGTGTCCTGAGGATTTAACTAAAGACACCCATTATACCAGAATATCTGCAGCAGTATTCAGAATACCCGTAAATACAAGATAGACTCAGACTGTAATATGCTACTCACTCCATGATGTTGCCTCATTAGGACCTTTATCAGACATATCGAGACTTCAATAAATTTATTAAGATTATAAAATCTCATCAATGAAGCTGAAAACTAGTTTGTAAATGCACAGTATGACTTCTTCGAAATTAAGCTTGCCTACAATTCCCTAATGTAATAAGCAAAAGATTCTTTGAGAAAAAACATGGACAATCCACAACCAAAGAACTTAGGTCATTAGAAAGGACTAATTTTAGGAGATTCTTAAAGGATTTCCTGAAATTTTATCTATTCCTCTGAGGTGGTGGGGAGAATCAGTAGCATTATCTATGAATTTGGGTATTAGATCAATGCATTTGAAGTGGAGAATTTTCTCTTATTTTTTCAGGGAAAAATATAAGAGATAGATATATATCTTATATATATGTGGAATATATATATGGAATATAGACATATAGAAAAATTTCATTGCCAGGATGTCCAATATGTTTGAGTTCTTTGAAGAATGCCATTGTGACTTTTATTGGGATTATGTTGAATCTTTAAATTGCTCTGGGCAGGATGTCCATTATGACAATGTTGATCCTTCCAATCCAAGAACAAGATGTGTATTTCCATTTCTCTGTGTCTTCTACTGCTTCTTTTAACAATGTCTTAAAGTACCCCTTCTATAGTTCCTTCATCTCCTTTATTAGGTATTTACTATTAGGTATTTACTATTTTGTGGTGAGATTGGTAAAGGAGATGACTTTCTTAATTTCTTCTTCTAGTTCACTGTTTGCATATGGGAAGGCAACTGATTATTTTGTGTTGATTTTGTAGTCTGCCACTTTGCTGAACTAGTTTAATTAGTTTTGTGTGGAAATTTAACTAGTTTAATTAGGTTTTGACTATGCATATTATCATATCATCTGTAAATAGTGATAGCTTTACTTATTTCCCAATTTGGATTCCCTTTATAGCTGTCTCTTGCCTAATTGCTCTATCTAGGACATTTAACGCTATGTTGAATAGTAGTGATGAGAGTGGACATCCTTGTCTTGAACTAGATCTTAGTTGAAAGACTTTCACATTTTACCATTGAGAATGATATTAGCTATGGGTTTGTCATATATGCCTTTTATTATGTTAAGATATGTTCATTCCAGTTTTTCAAGGGTTTTCATCATAAGTGGAATTAGCAAATGCTTACTCAATATCTATTGATATGATCATATGGATTTTACTTTACTTTTGGTTGATGTGATGAATTGCATTGATTGATTTTTGGATGTTGAACCATCCTTGTGTTCCTGGTATAAATCCCACTTGGTCATTATGTATAATCCTTTTAATGGATTGTTGAATTTGGTTTGCTAAGATTTCATTGAGGATTTTAGCATCTGTGTTCATTAGGAGATTAGTCTGTAGTTTTCTTTTTTGTGTCATCTTTGTTTGATTTTGGTTTTAGCATAATGTTGGTCTCATAAAATGTTTGGGAGTATTCCTCCTTTCTCATTTTTTTGAAAAAAATGAGCAGAATAGGTATTATTTCTTTATATATTTGGTAGAACTTGCCTGTGAAGCCATCTCGTCCTGGACTTTAGTTTTTTGGAGAGCTTGATTACTGCTTCAGTTTATTTTTTTTTGTTGTTGTTGTTGTTATTGTTTGTGATTGTTTCCTCAAGGAGTTTTAATCTGGCAGGAAGAGAATTGACATCTAAGTGTAATAAAATAAAACTGGTGTTTTGTTAGGATAGTGTAATTACACAGTGGAGAAAGGTGAGACAAAGGAGGAAGTGGTGAATTTACATTTTAGAGGGGGGAGGTAATTATTTTCAGAAAATTGTAATGGAACATTGATTGAGCTGTGTCTTGAAAAATAGTCCTTCTGGGTGCACAGGGAAGGACACTTAAGAAGAAAGAGGAAGAAGACCAACTCTATGGATGTGAGAAACATTTCAGGATATCCAGGTGTGATGGCACCTACAAATGGTGCTGACTAGAACTCAGGGTTAAGGCGGGATCTGTAGGCTGCATTGGCAGGACCTTTTTTTATACCCTGACTGTGGTCACTGTCTCTGCCTTATCCAAATTCTGCCATCTCCAGCCTTGTTTTTCCCTTCATTCAAACAATGTCCACTCCTTTCATTTTGTGATGCAAGCTTAGCTCTTAAACCTCAAATTGTTTGGAGCCAAATCCTGATTTGAGGGATAATATCGTTGGTTCATATTGACCTTGCTATATATAATACAATGATAGTTTTGCCCAGGATTTATTTTGACAAAATGGATTGAGTTAATGTTTTCTGAGCTTTTGTATTTACAGATTTGAAAGATGCCAAAAAAACCCCCATATTTTAACTCCTAGAAAAAGAACAAATAAGTGCCTCCTCTCCCAAGCATGGTGTAATATGACTTATGTGATACTACAACCTAATGAAGCCTAAAGTGATTCAAAATACTGCATGCTGCATAATCATTGAGACAGATCATGTGTTTGTGATAGTCTCTGAAGAGGACACACTCCCAGAGAGCAGAGAATAGTCTGGTCTTCTGCATCCCTAGTCCTCAACTGGCTGCTGGGCTGCCTGCTGCTCAAGTACATGAGTTTCAGCTCTCCCATCATGCCCTCTATAAATGATTAGCTCTTTCTCATTATTTTCTTCCTTTTAACATATTTTTTCCTTTTTCCTCAGGCTCAATTATTTTTACATGAGAGTAATTTGCTCATTAACCTATGAAGACTCAAGTTATTCTTTCATTCAAAGGAAATGCTACTGCTGCTACTGCAAATTATTTTGACTTCACAGCATTATAAAAACAGATATTTTAAGGTGAACTGTAGTCTGATCTCCCATAAATATAGACGGTTCTTCTTTTAATACACCTATTTAAATAAAACAAGGTCACAAAATATATTTTTCTTGAGAATATCAGAAATAGTCTCAACTACCTAATCACACAACAGGGTCGTTAAACAGGGTGGAGTCTCCTGATCTAGGTGTCTGGCTGCCACTTATATCTTTAAGTGAATATGGACATTTCCCCCAGGATATTTTCTTTCTGAGGAGAGGGCTTGAATGGTACCACCTCTTTTTCTTATTCTGTATAGTTCTGGTCTGGGCACGCGGAGGCCATGGTGTTCTGTATGATACAGTCCACGGCTCTATGTGCCAGAAACTTTTCCTCATGCCTGGACTTCTGTCCTTGATGGCAGCGCCTCCAGGTCTCTGTCTCCATCTAGTCCACTCTGCTTCACATGTGGGTATTTGATGAACACTTGGCAAAGGCAGAGGCGATGGCTGCCCTGTGAGTGGGTGTGTGCAAATGTGCTTTACTTTGTGAGGCCAGTGTCGGTCGTTTGAGATCAGGATCCCTCCGGAGCGCCACAACTCACTTTGAGATGGTCCCTGGTTCACTTTCCTCAGTTTTTTTTTTTTTTTTTTTCTGAAATGTGTATTCTCAGTGAGGTCTTACCAACCATTCTTTTTGAAATTGTCTTACACCTTTCTAGAACTTACTTCTTTTCCAGTTTTATTTTTTAGCACTTCTCTGACAGGAAATCAATTTCCTATTGTTAGCATTGGGCAGGGGTTTTGGCCTCATCCCTCCTTGACTCCTGGAGTCTAGAGCTGTGCACATGGCAGGTACTTATCAGGTGTACCGCGAATGACTGAAAAATAAAAGCCACCTTCCTTTCATTCTGTCTGCTTTCTTCTCTTCTCCCTAAACTGCTTTTTCCATGATTCTGGTTCACATGCCACATGAGTTCTTCCCTGCTCTCCAGTTTGCGCAGAAGAGCTCCAGACACTTTCAGAGGCTGAGTTGCTGTTTCTGAGTCTCAACCCCACATTCCAGGTGAGAGAGCAATCTGGATGGCACTGCATCGGGCGTGTGCCTGGTGCGATCTGTCATGGCCATGCAGTCTGGAACGCAAAGACACCACTAGGATTGTTGTCAGGATACCCTTTTCCGAGAGGGGGAGGTAATTTCAAGGAGAGGGTAATTGGCCACCAAATGGGCACCAGGTATCTGCAATAGTTTACAAGTAGTGAGGAGTTTTTTTCCAAAGTATTTAAAATGTTCCTATCAGGGCCTGCCTGGTGGCACAGCGGATTGAGCGCCATGCTGTGAAGCTATCTGCAGCCTCTGCAGTGAGGGTTCGATTCCTGACCGGCCAGGGAGATTCCCACATGGCGCAGCAGACCTCTCCTCCCTCTCCCGCTTCATCCATCTGCCTGTTCTGCTCCCTGCTCTGTCTCTGGTGAATTCTCTCACCCTCCCGCACCTCTGGCCTGTACCCCAGCTCTTGTATAAATAAATAAATATTTTAAAAAATGTTCCTATCATTTTAAATGTTTTGCCAAAGGCTGTTTCATCAGTCAGTGCAGGCTGCCATAGCAAGATACCATAGAGGAGGGGCTTTAACAAGAGAAATGTCTTTTCTCAGAGTTCTAGGGGCTGGAGGCTGGAGTCAGGGTGCCAGTGGGTTCAGGCTGTGGTGAGCGCTCTTCTCCTGGAGGGCTGACAGTGCTTCTCCCTTCGCCTTACAGAGCCATCTCTCTTGCCTCCGGGCAGAGAGATCAATGGTCAGAGCCTGCTCTCCGTGCCCTCTTCTCAGGATGCCCATGCAACCATGAGGGCTCGGTCTTGTGACTTTATCAAATGCTAATTATCTTCTCAAAACCAAACACATTCATAATGGGGGCTAGGGCTGCTCACATATGAATTTGGGGGAGCAAATCTCTTGATCTGAATTGCCTTTGCTCATTATCTGATGGCTTTTTAGGTGATAAGTAACCCCTTTGTTCTATTGAAGATGACAGGGGAAAATGGCAAAAATCAGAAATGGTGGTCATTTGATAATGAAATACTGAAAGAGAAAAATAAGCCAGAGCATTATGGGTGAATAAATTGTAAAGTACTAACAGTGGGAGTGGGGTAGAGGGTTTGGGTTAGCGAAGAGCCATCTTGTATAGCAGGGTTTGCATTGCACTTGGTGAGCTCAGGTTCCGGATGCACCTCTAAGCCTGGGCTTGACTGCAGGTTAATAGCTTGCAAGTTGTCCCTTGCTATTTGACATTGTTAATGGACAGGAAGCCAGTAATGATTTATAAAGTGATGCTGGAGCTGTAGTTACCACATCTCCCCAAGCAGAGTGCGACGTGCGGAAGGAAGAGCAGTTGCCTCATGGAAGAGGGACGAGTTTCCTTCGTCTTCTCTTTCTCTCCCAAGCTGCTCCAGATCCAGGCTACCCTGGCTCTTTTATTTTCTGACAATACCAGGCCTTAGGGTGACCTCTGAAGGGGCCTTTACAGCAGGTCACTAGAAAAAATACAGGACACTTAGTTAAATTTGAATTTCAGATAGAAAAACCATTGTTAAAAAAAATAGTAGGCTGGTGTTCTACATATCACAAGGTGCAAATGTAGAAAATTATTCATTGTTTATCCGAAATTCGAACTGAACTGCATTTTCTGTTGTTTGGGAACTTTACTCAAAGCCTATGTTGCTTTGCCAGATGGGAGAAATGACAGACCTGCCAAAGTATATGGACTTTAAAACACATGGAGATGGGCAATATTTTATTGTTTTTAAATACTCAGAGTTGGTGTTGCAGAGCTAAAAAAGGTGACACAGTGGCTGGGCTAGGAGGGGATGGTGTGGACTTTTTTTTATGTTTCGCCATACAGTTAAAGAGGAAGCCTGGTAAATCAAAGAATGAACCAGCTAGAAGGAACTAAAGAGTCATAGGTTATGCTCCTCATTTTACAGCAAAGGAACTGAAATGATAGAATAGAAATAAATCCTTGGAGTTAGACCTGAAAAGTCCAGGTTACATCACCTAATGGGAGTGTTGGTTTGTTTCCAGAAAATAGAAATGGTGATGGACTGTTCACCCCAGAGAATTCCAGTGAGGGGCTCACTGAGCCAATGTCACCCCCAGAGCTGCTTGCTAGGATGTGCACATATGGGTTGCTACCTTGCTCTGTTCCCAGCAGCTGGAGAGCAGGTGGCCTGTTGGGGCTCCTGGCATCTCCCATGCTGGACACACTGGATTGTTCTGAGATGATGGTCACCACCCTCTGTCGCCAAAGCATTGTGCATGTAGAATCTTTGACTTCAGCAGGACAAATTGTAAGCTGTAATGTTGGCCCTGTTAGCCAACAAAATCAGGGAAGAGGAGATAAACAGTGCTTATCTGAAAAAATAAAGATCCCCACCCCCCTCCAAAAAAGCATGTCACTTTCACTGGGATTTTCACTGAGACAGGAGAGTGTATTTTGCTCTGGGAGCTCTGCCTCAGTTATCTGGACACCTGTTGTGAAGTGGGGAGAGCTCCTTTTTATACTTCCTCAAAACTGTAACTGTTCCATCCCATCCATCCCACTGTACCCTACCCCACCTATGCCACTTATTTTCTCCAACCTGCTTATTTTCACATCCTGAAAAAGTGGTGACTCTCAAAATATGGGCACTGAGTCAGTAGCAGCAGCACCAGGGGACTTGCATAAAAGCAGATTCTCAAAGAATCACCCACACCCCCTGAATCTGGAGGTAGAGTTCATAATTTATGTTCTCATAGCTGTCCTGGGATTCTGCTACTGGTGCAAGTCTGAGAACCACGGGTCAGGAGCTCAAACCCCCCAAAGCCCTCAGGTCTGTCTGCCTCTTCTTGGTCTGATAGCAGTGGAGTTAATTCTGCCCACATCTTTGCCTACTATATCCAATGATCATTTGGGCATACTTAGTAATTGCTAGACAATAGGGGAAGGAGAGGTAATTGTCCTCATTAAGCTCATAGTATAGGTGTTATGCCGGACACTTTATATACACTGTCCCATTTCACGCTCAGAGACCCTTTACCATGGGTATTATCCCACCAGTTCATAAATAATGAAACTGAAGTTCAGAGAGGCCTAGTAATTCATTTCAGCTACACAGCTAAGGCAGTGGTAGAGCAATTTCACTTTCAACCTGTGAAGACACATAACAGAGTCCAGGACCTGCGTGAAACTGGAAGGACCCCAAACGAGCAATGAGGGCAAGAAGCAGGCTGAGAAGTTCCTTGAGCTTGGTAGAGAGGAGGGAATGATGGGTTGTGGGGGGGCAGCTCCTAGGGGAGCCGCAGCCATGCACACATTTCTCACAGCCAAGTTTAAAACAATTTAAGTGAAGCAACGTATTCAATTAGAGATGCTTGAGGAGACCAGGCACGTATCATCTATGTCAGCAGCGAAAGAGAAGAAAATATATAGCCTTTGCACGCTGTGACCATTTCAGCACTGTGTGATGCTGCTGCTTCACGGAAGACCAGAAGAATGCATCGAATACCTTAGAGAGATTGATTTCCTTAGGAAGAAAAATAAAACAAAGGAAGATCCTCTGATTACATTTAAATATTTCCTTGCCAATGCTTGGGGGAATTCTAGCATTTCTCGCTTGCAGAGGAAAGCTTTTGTGCCTGGGAAAAAGGTGATTAGGGCACCATGCCTGGAAGGATAGAGAGGGGAGGGGGCGAGGGGAGGAAGGGCTGTTTCAATAGCAGCACAGGTGCAACAGTTTGGAGTGAGTGATGGCCTTACAAATGACCCTGGCACAGAGCAGAGGAAACCCAGGCAGGAGATTAATTGAATTACAGCTACAGCATGTATGCATTTCATTTCTGCTGTAGAATCTGAATGGCTAGTGGGGCTAGCTCACCAGCTGGAGTAAGGTCAGATTATTGAGGAAATGGGAGGGGATCTAGATGAACAATTTTCCGGATGGGGAACAATCCTTAGGCTGTTTGCTTTTGGGTCGAGCATTTGGGGGTCTGAATGGGCTCAGCTTATGATTTCCTTTTTCTAAAGACAATCTATTTTTTCATGCCAGGATGTAACCAGTATCTGAGAG